GCAGGCAGAACCACCGTATCTTTATCACGGTTTTCCCAGGCCACCGAATGGCGACGCTGCATATGCTGACGCAACGCTGTAGTCCCAACATTGGCCCCCTGGCCACGCTTGACTTTCTGGCCACATAGTCGACATACGGCTACGTTTACTTCCTCGGGCGGCTTGACGAAAAATTGCCACACCGCGAGTAGGAAACTTTGCCCCCGCTACTCCTCACACTGGCTGACTGCTACTTCCTCCGTGCACACCGGCACCACTACTGGCCGTGGTGGTAGGCTGCAGTGGAGCTGGTGCTCTACTCCATGGCCGTTTGGCTCCACTGACACTGCTGCGACCCTGCTGCCTCCTGGGCATCCCACCGACTGTTTTGCTCGCTGGCAAGCTGGCACCCTCTTCTCCTGATGATGCGGAAGCAATAGCCTGATGACGACGAGGCTGCCAAGTGCGATCAGCCTCATCATCATCAATTAGGGTCTCCGCGTCACTACTAGCCCCCTCGGCTGCGTGTGGGTCAGGAGACAGACCTGTCTCTAGACCGGCTACCGAGCCACTCTCCTCGCCAGTACTTCTTCGCCTGGCTGCTGAAGAGGCGGATGTCTCCCCCCGTTCCTGACCGCCCTCTGTTAGCTCTTCCTCACTGTACAGTGGGGCTGAGCCCACAGCATGCGATACTTCGCTTGGTGAGGGAACACCAAAGGACAGGGGCAGGTCGAGGACACGTGATTTCAGTGGCCTTGCTCTCGGGCCATGCCAACTAACGGTTGTGTCTGACGTACCCACCGACCGTTGGCTGTAGGTGTCAGAGGTGACCTGGGAAGAGGAAGACGACCGAGTCAACCAATCGATGACGGCAGGGTTGTCGGTGGAGACACGACCGCTGGATGACACCGGGAGCACTGGCCTCTGGCTGCGACTAGTGCTGCCTCGACCCCTTCTTCTGCTGCCACGTCTGCTCGCTCCTGAAACATTGCCTCCTCTGCCACTCTCCTCTGCGTGTTGTCTGACATACTCTTTAATTCAATAAGCACCCCAAAAATAAAACCTGATTTTAACTCTTTGAACGTACAATAGTGGTTGTGAAGCAAAAAGTCAGTTTATTTAGCACAATCGGTCAATTGCAGCTTGCCGTTGGCTGTAAACTGTACGTTTATGTCACTGGAATGCACTAATCACCCAAAAAATATTACCGCCACCCCCGGCGTGTATATGGATTTAACTCTTTGAACGTACAATAGTGGTTGTGAAGCAGAAAGTCAGTTTATTGTACACAATCGGTCAATTGCAGCTTGCCGTTGGCTGGAAACTGTACGTTTAGGTCACTGGAATGCACTAATCACCCAAAAAATATTACCTGCAGCCGGCGTGTAAATGGATTTAACTCTTTGAACGTACAATAGTGGTTGTGAAGCAGAAAGTCAGTTTATTGTACACAATCGGTCAATTGCAGCTTGCCGTTGGCTGGAAACTGTACGTTTATGTCACTGGAATGCACTAATCACCCAAAAAATATTACCGCCAGCCGGCGTGTAAATGGATTTAACTCTTTGAACGTACAATAGTGGTTGTGAAGCAGAAAGTCAGTTTTATTGTACACAATCGGTCAATTGCAGCTTGCCGTTGGCTGGAAACTGTACGTTTCTGTCACTGGAATGCACTAATCACCCAAAAAATATTACCCGCCACCACCCGGCGTGTATAATGGATTTAACCCTTTGAACGTACAATAGTGGTTGTGAAGCAGAAAGTCAGTTTATTTAGCACAATCGGTCAATTGCAGCTTGCCGTTGGCTGGAAACTGTACGTTTATGTCACTGGAATGCACTAATCACCCAAAAAATATTACCGCCACCCGGCGTGTAAATGGATCTAACTCTTTGAACGTACAATAGTGGTTGTGAAGCAGAAAGTCAGTTTATTTAGCACAATCGGTCAATTGCAGCTTGCCGTTGGCTGGAAACTGTACGTTTATGTCACTGGAATGCACTAATCACCCAAAAAAATATTACCGCCAGCCGGCGTGTAAATGGATTTAACTCTTTGAACGTACAATAGTGGTTGTGAAGCAGAAAGTCAGTTTATTTAGCACAATCGGTCAATTGCAGCTTGCCGTTGGCTGGAAACTGTACGTTTATGTCACTGGAATGCACTAATCACCCAAAAAATATTACCGCCACCCGGCGTGTAAATGGATTTAACTCTTTGAACGTACAATAGTGGTTGTGAAGCAGAAAGTCAGTTTATTTAGCACAATCGGTCAATTGCAGCTTGCCGTTGGCTGGAAACTGTACGTTTATGTCACTGGAATGCACTAATCACCCAAAAAATATTACCGCCACCCGGCGTGTAATGGATTTTACTCTTTGAACGTACAATAGTGGTTGTGAAGCAGAAAGTCAGTTTATTTAGCACAATCGGTCAATTGCAGCTTGCCGTTGGCTGGAAACTGTACGTTTATGTCACTGGAATGCACTAATCACCCAAAAAAAATTATACCGCCACCCGGCGTGTAAATGGATCTAACTCTTTGAACGTACAATAGTGGTTGCGAAGCAGAAAGTCAGTTTATTCTACACAATCGGTCAATTGCAGCTTGCCGTTGGCTGGAAACTGTACGTTTCTGTCACTGGAATGCACTAATCACCCAAAAAATATTACCGCCAGCCAGCGTGTAAATGGATTTAACTCTTTGAACGTACAATAGTGGTTGTGAAGCAGAAAGTCAGTTTATTTAGCACAATCGGTCAATTGCAGCTTGCCGTTGGCTGGAAACTGTACGTTTATGTCACTGGAATGCACTAATCACCCAAAAAAATATTACCGCCAGCCAGCCGGCGTGTAAATGGATTTAACTCTTTGAACGTACAATATTGGTTGTGAAGCAGAAAGTCAGTTTATTTAGCACAATCGGTCAATTGCAGCTTGCCGTTGGCTGGAAACTGTACGTTTATGTCAGTGGAATGCACTAATCACCAAAAAATATTACCGCCACCCGGCGTGTATATGGATTTAACTCTTTGAACGTACAATAGTGGTTGTGAAGCAGAAAGTCAGTTTATTTAGCACAATCGGTCAATTGCAGCTTGCCGTTGGCTGTAAACTGTACGTTTATGTCACTGGAATGCACTAATCACCCAAAAAAATATTACCGCCACCCGGGCGTGTAAATGGATCTAACTCTTTGAACGTACAATAGTGTTTGTGAAGCAGAAAGTCAGTTTATTTAGCACAATCGGTCAATTGCAGCTTGCCGTTGGCTGGAAACTGTACGTTTCTGTCACTGGAATGCACTAATCACCCAAAAAATATTACCGCCACCCGACGTGTAAATGGATCTAACTCTTTGAACGTACAATAGTGGTTGTGAAGCAGAAAGTCAGTTTATTGTACACAATCGGTCAATTGCAGCTTGCCGTTGGCTGGAAACTGTACGTTTGTGTCACTGGAATGCACTAATCACCCAAAAAAATATTACCGCCAGTCGGCGTGTAAATGGATTTAACTCTTTGAACGTACAATAGTGGTTGTGAAGCAGAAAGTCAGTTTATTTTTGCACAATCGGCAAACTGCAGCACCAACTGTGCACGACAGCCACCAAAAAAAAAAAGGGTGTATGTCACTTTAAATTTTCGATTCTTTGATAGCTGTGGCCCTAAGTAATGATTCTGTGTCCCTGAGTAACGATTCTGTGTCCCTGAGTAACGATTCTGTGTCCCTGAGTAACGATTCTGTGTCCCTGAGTAACGATTCTGTGGCCCTAAAGTCTCTGTGGCCCTAACTCTGTCCCTTAATACACACACAGGTCTGTCTCTCTTGAATGACCGGAGGCTAATGGAGAATTCTAAGATGGCCGCGATTTATAGCTCCACCATTACACAGTGCTGGCTGGCTGCTGATTGGCTAATGCGATCACATGTCATGAATGCATTATGGGTCAGCGCGCCTTGTCTGCGCGCCTTCCCAGAGATCCCCGCCCCATCTTCTCTGTCCATTTTCTCCGTCGCCACACATGTCGCCGCCATTTTTGGGAAAAATTCGATTCATGCATCCGAAGTTTGCTAATCTTCGGATTCGTCGCGAATAGAATTTTTCCAAATCTTCGGAACGAATTCCACTTCGTCATGTTCGATTCGCTCATCTCTAGTCATCACAATTATCCCTTTGATTGCCAGGAACACGCTCACATACACAATAAACCTCCATTGCTAGTATAATGTCTGAATGGATCAATATCTTTGATCAGAACTATAACAGCGTTCAAAATAGTAAAGTGTCCCCAAAAATGCAGCATTAGCAGGACCAGCCCCGGCACCTGCCAGCACCTGCGTTTAGCCCCTATGCTTAACCCCCCCCCCCCTCCGTTTCCCCCAGCAAGTGCACTGTCAGTAAATCACTGTCATTTGATACATTACACTAACAAACTGCAGGGTTAGCAAGATCAGGCCTGATCTCTGCTAGCACTAACAGGTATATTTTTTTGTAGCTGTTCAAACAGTCCCTGACATCCAGGTGCTCTTTGTCCCGTGAGTCGAACGAGGTATCTATACATTTAGTGGCCAAAATGTCCAATGAAAGGTACACTAGTGAAGAGGCCTACAGGATTCTGAGTGTGTCAGATGAAGGGGAAGCTTCACTGACAGAATCAGGCTCAGAATATGAACCTGTAGAGAGCAGTGGCACCCTGACAGATAGCTCAGATGATGGAGTAGAGGTCCCTGCTAAGGTTAGGTGTACCCAACCCTGTTCCCAGGTTGCTGAGGTGTTACAATTGCATGATGATTCTCATATGCAGCAGAGTGCCAGTACTAGTGCCGCTCTACCTTTTGGTGAGCTAGCGAGCACTAGAGGCCTAGTACATCCTGCTCTTTTACATACCAGCACTTTGTGATGTGGTGAGTCCCATAAATGCAGTATAAGCTGGTGCGGTGGCTAGCACAAGCAGTGTCCCACAGCCACCAAAAATCCTATCACAGGCCTGTAGAGCCCATAGTGTCCTTCTGGATGTGCTTGCAAATCCTGATTGGCAGACCACAAATTCTGCAGCACCCATACTTCCCCCATTCACTGCCCAACCCAGAATTCAGGTGGAAAGAGCAATTTTAACAACTCCCCTTTTTTTAAGCTGTTTTTCACAGAACATCTGTATGGATTTATTGTGGATCAAAGCAATTTATACGCACAACAATTTATCGCCCCCCAACCCAAATTCAAACCTTGCCAGACCATTTGCATTGAAACCAATTACAGTTTCCAAATTTAAAGTTTTTTTTGGGTCTAACCCTCACCATGGGCATTACTAAAAAAAAAAATGAATTGCGGTTGTATTGGTCCACAGACCCAATTCATCATATGCCCATATTCTCTTCTGCAATTGCCAGGCATATATATGAGAATATAATGTGATTTATGCTTTTCTTTGATAACACACGGTGTCATCCTCGGGGTGACCCTGAATATGACCGGCTCCACAGAAACAGAATTCGGCCCCTTGTCAATCACCTTAACCAGAAATTTGCAGATGTGTATACTCCCCTTCAAAAAATCAGTGTTGATGAGTCCCTCATTCATTTTTCTAGCCACCTTGCATTCAAACAATTTCTCCTCAGCAAACGTGTCAGATATGGGGGTCAAAATGTATAAGACCTGTGAGAGGGCAACAGGCTATACATGTAATTTTCAGATTTATGAGGAAAAAGACACGTGGAGCCCCCCGGATGTCCAGACTACATGGGGAGCAGTGGAAAGATAGCTTTGGACTTCTCCTAGATTGTAAGCTTTAACATGCAGGGCCCTCTGTTTCCTCTTGCACCAAATTGTATTGTAACTGTAATGTCTACCTTAATTTTGTAAAGCGCTGCGCAAACTGTTTGCCTTATATAAATCCTGTATAATATTAATAATGATAATAATTTGGTGTCACCCTTTTTCCATATAGGGTACCACTTACACATGGACAATTTTCATACAAGGGTTCCACTATTTAGACATATGTGCAATCTTGGAATTGGCGCATGTGGCATCAGGCAACCTAATTGCTGGGGCTTCCCCGAACGGGTTGTAAAAGCCTGTCTTCGAAATGCTTTAACATGTCCTGTATTTATATCCTGGTGTTTTGTGTGTCCTATGGATGAATAAATACACACTATATTCATCTATCCTCCGATGTGTGGTGCTGACCCTTCTTCCTATTGCATCATGTGTGGTGGCGAGCCAGAACCTGCACCTGTTGTGGATTGATCTAGATTGTTTGCCTGAGTGATATACCTTTTGTTCTTTGAAAAATAAGAAGACCACTGGGACTCTGTACTCTGGAGTGAAGAGACCAAGATAAATGTTTTTGGAACAGATGGCTTAAAGACTGTATGATGTTTCAAAGGTGAGGAGTACAAGAAAAATGCATGGTGCCTACAGTGAAACATGGTGGTGGCAGCGTCCTTCTGTGGGACTGCTGGTGTTGGGGAGCTGCATTTCACTGATGATATTATGAATTCACAGATGTACTGCTCTATATTAAAAAGAGAAGATGCACTTTTCCAGCATGACAATGATCCAAGGACACATCTAAGGCCATTGCTGCATTTCTGAAGAAAAACAGGGTGAAAGTAGTTCAGTGGCCAAGTCTCCTGATCTGAACCTAATCAAACACCTATGGAGAATTCTGAAGAGGCAACTTGAGCATCACTATCCATCCAGCATTCAGGCTCTAAAAGAGGCTGTTCTTGAAGAATGTAAAAAGACAAATGTTGCAATATGTCACCAACTTGTTTTTTCCATGCCTAGAAAACATGGTGCTGTCCTTACAAATCATGGAGGTCATACAAATCACTAGATGTAGTAGATGTAGTAGTTTTTGTTGAGGGGTGTATTCATATTTGCATCAACTAATTTGAGTAAAACTGAAGATTATGTAATCTAAGTTATATTATTAACCTTACTTTCATTTATTGAGCTAAACAAATGTTCTATAAAACTCAGTTTTGTCAAAATTTTGGAAATTGTTCTTGTGTTCATTGAGATATTGATTAAAATTTTACTTTTCAAAAGGTATGTACTCATTTATGCTGAGCTCTGTATATACAGAGGGGCTAGAACAGGGGTGGGCAAACTTTTTGACTTGAGGGCCGCAATGGGTTCATATATTGGACCCGGGGGCCGGACCAAGAGTAGATGAATGATGTGTATGTGTCATCCATAGTAAGTATAGTAATATTCCCCCATAGTAAGCATAGTAATTAATCCCCCATAGTAATTAATCCCCCATATAGTAATTCATCCCCCATATAGTAATTCATCCCCCATATAGTAATTCATCCCCATAGTAATTCATCCCCCATATAGTAATTCGTCCCCCATATAGTAATTCGTCCCCCATATAGTAATTCGTCCCCCATAGTAATTCATCCCCCCCTATAGTAATTCATCCCCCATAGTAATTCATCCCCCATATAGTAATTCATCCCCCATAGTAATTCATCCCCCACATAGTAATTCATCCCCCACATAGTAATTCATCCCCCATATTAATTCATCCCCCATATTAATTCATCCCCCATATAGTAATTCATCCCCCATATAGTAAGTCCTCCATATAGTAATTCATTCCCCATATAGTAAGTCCTCCATATAGTAATTCATTCCCCATATAGTAAGTCCCCCATATAGTAATTCATTCCCCATATAGTAAGTCCTCCATATAGTAATTAATTCCCCATATAGTAAGTCCCCCATATAGTAATTCATCCCCCATATAGTAAGTCCTCCATATAGTAATTCATTCCCCATATAGTAAGTCCTCCATATAGTAATTCATTCCCCATATAGTAAGTCCCCCATATAGTAATTCATTCCCCATATAGTAAGTCCTCCATATAGTAATTAATTCCCCATATAGTAAGTCCCCCATATAGTAATTCATTCCCCATATAGTAAGTCCCCCCTATAGTAATTCATCCCCCATATAGTAAGTCCCCCATATAGTAAGTCCCCCCCCTGTGTCAATTCACTTACCTTTGGTCCGCGCGTTCCTCTCGTATTCCCGCGCCGTTCTGGTCTTCAGGGAGGACTGTGAGAGGAGTTCGTCACGCTGCCCCGCCTACATCCTGGCTGCCCCGCCTACATCCTGACAGCTGCAGAGTCCTGACGTCCGAGAGGAGGGAGGGGGGCGGCCATCCGAGAGGGGGGGCGGCCATCCGAGAGGAGAGGAGGGGAGAGGAGGGAGGGGAGCGGGCGCCCGGCACACAGGAGAGCCGCATCTAAATTTGTAAAGAGCCGCGGCTTGCCGACCACTGGCCTTGCGGGAGCCTAGCTCCGCGGGCCGGATTAAAAGGTCCGCCGGGCCGTATACGGCCCGCGGGCCGTAGTTTGCCCATTGCTGGGCTAGAAAGATGTTAGGTAGTCAGGAAACTGGCTATTGCACTTTCAGGGACCTCAACATCTCGAGGTTACAGTTTAAAAAAAAAAGTTTAAACGAATTAAAAAAGGAACAATAAACCTATAAAAAATTAAATGAAAAAAATTAAAAAACAAAAAAACAAAAATAGTTGTCGTTTTATTGAGTTACTGTTTTATTGTGCAGAGCAGTTAAAAAAAGAACATATATGCCCAAGCATGGGGGCCTGGGGTGGCTAGTAAGTGGATTGCTCCTTCGTTTTGGTATATATATATATATATATATATATATATATATATATATATACATTACAATATTTTTTGGCACAGATTTCAATAAAAAAGTTGTTTTATTGAGTTACTGTTTTATTGTTAACCATTGCTGTTTTCTCTGCAGGCATGCCATTCAGCTTCAGAACCGATCTGTTTATTATGACAGCAACAGGGTCTTGCTCTCAGAATATACATCAGTGTGTGCAGCGCTGTTGGATGCAATTTTTCATCTGCAGTTAAAAAAGAACATATATACCCAAGCATGGGGGCATGGGGTGGTCAGTGGGTTGATCGCTCCTATGCTTTGGCATAAATTTAATTTTTTTTTTGTTGGCAGAGATTTCTTCATCCACATCAATCGAGGTGAATAGAGGGATCTGTTAGGTTTCTTTTCTTTTGTGCAGCCCAGGGGCTGAATGAAAAAAAAAAGAACATTTCATGTATGCCCAACATTAGAAGTGGGTGGATGCAGGGCGGTATATTTTAATGGCAGGCATACGCACACTTTTTCTGGCAGAGGCTGCATAAAGAAAAAGAACATAACATACATAACCAACAAGGACCAGCAACGTACTGGTACATCACTGAACTTTGAATGGGTATACCAGGATGATGCCTGCAGCTGCAGGCATCATCCTGGTATAATTTTTTTCAGCCGCAAATCAGCTTTTATGTAAAAGAATTCCTACTTGCTAATTAGCTACAGGATTTCTTTTACAAGCATTGGGAGGAGATGCCTCCCCCCTCCAGCTGCCTTCCACTACTTTCTCACGAAGTCCCATGCCCTCAGAGAATGCAGCTGTCAGGGCTCCAGGTATGACCAGAGGGGTGTGGACTGACACAGGGAAATGCGGGCTTCAGATATGTTATAAACAATATAGTTTATTAAGACTAACAATACAAAACGCAGTGCAAAACTAAACCTAAACACAGTGCAAACAAACCAAACCAAATTTTTTTTAAAAATTTGCATTTGAAAAATCACTGTGCAAGTACTATGTGGCATGAAAAATTGCAGCATCCACCATTTTATTCTCTAGGGTAATTGCTTTAAAAATATATATAATGTTTGGGTTTCAAAGTAATTTTCTAGAAAAAAATAAGTTTTTTTCATTTGTACAAAAAGTGTCAGAAGAGGCTTGGTCTTCAAGTGGCTAGTAAAGTGATGTGTGGCCTAAGCTTCTAATGCTGGGTATAAAATGCCAAGATAACAACCCCCCTTCCCCCAAATGACCCCTTTTTGGAAAGTAGACACACTTTTTTACACAAAGTTGTCATGTAAATGATATATTGGATAAACAAAAATGTGGTGCGCTAACTTCTCATTAAAATAAAAAACATTTTTGAGCAAACAATAAATATTGCAATTCTCCTTCAATCAAATAAAAATAAAATGGTCCAATCCAACATGCAAAAAAGTCCTAGTAATGCAATCTCATCAAAGATTCCAGAACGTGCTTGTGTTACGGATACACTCCCTGCTCACCTTAAGATTTGATCCATAGATTATAATAGGTCAAATGCAATGGACTGTATATCCTCCAAATTGTGATTCATGTGATACTTCTTCCAGACACTGTCTTCATTAAATCTTGACTTGAAACCGTGTATAAAAAACAAAAATATTCCGTAGTGCAACACCATT